GAACACAGCCAACATCATTTCATGTTCCACATTGATTTTCATGTGGTACTTACTTGTTACCACATACACATAAACTGTTACCTCAGCTTCACAAAGATATGATGTCATAGTAAAGAATGCAGAATGATCTAATGTTGAAACTCTATTTTAAACTAGTAGTTATATCTATCGGAAGTTGAGTACTGCAACATTAAGGCACCTCCACCAGTTCAGTGTGGCACCCTGGGGTACCTTGTCACACAGTTTGGGACATAGAGTTTTTATACAGCCCACTGTTGTTTTACCCACCATCAGAACCTGGATTTGAATTATGTTCTTCACTATGTACAATCCACTGGAATCTCAACAAACACCCTCACCACTGTACTCCTGCAGCTAAGCACCTTAACACACTTAACAAGTGTAATCTACTTCACATTCTGAATCACAGAATCAAACGTGGGCTTGATGGCACGCGAGCCAGGATGATGGGTGGCACTGGTAGCAGGGATTCATATTGAAAGTAGGAGACACCATACTTTTATATGTTTAATTCCCCAACCAGTAAGACACTTCTTTTGTGTTTTCAATTTGCTTGGTATTACACAATGCTATAAAAGTAACTCAATACAGTTTGTGGTTGTTTTCAGACAGCTGAGTAAGGGCCTGAGTATTAACAGCTGTCAAATGAGTCTCCTCTGCTCTCCGCCCACCCCACCCCCATTCCCACCAGACTCGTCTTTGAAGGATCCAATCAGTGAAAAGTCAGAATGTCAAAGAAGAAGCCCAGAGCAGGTAATATGATAAACGGATGTTGGTCTTAAGGAAGCTGACTTAGCTATTAATGCACAAAACAGTCTGAAAAGATTTCGTGATGCAAGCTGACTTCTGTCTAGACAGAGAAGGGGGTGTAAAACATATGAGACAGATACAACACAGTAGTGACAAGAAAAACCTGTTTCAGTTGCACAAATGTATAGGGAGGGAATTGGCTAGTTTCTTCTTTATCTAAATATCTAATCCCTAGTGGCGCTATATCTAGGTACTAGCGAATTTCAGTTTTATTTCTAGGGCTTTAAAACATCTTACACATAAATAAGAAATGGGAGGATAGTGAAGAGAAGAAAAAAAGAGATAAAAAGAATGAGGGAAATATAGAAAGAGAGGGAGGGAAGGATGAAGGGAGTGGGGAGAAAGAGAGAGGGTGAGAGGAAGAGAGAGAGGGAGGAAGGAAGGAAGGGAAGGAGGGAGGGAGAGGGAGGGGTAGAGGGGGGAGAGGGAGGGAGGGAGGGAGAGAGAGAGAGAGAGAGAGAGAGAGAGAGAGAGAGAGAGAGATTGACTGAACCCTAGCCAACAAGGAGAGAGCAAGAGTGAATATGTGAGAGGAAGAGAAGAGACGGTAATAAAATCCAAATGCTTAAATATGTTCCTGAATTTCAAAGGCTATTCATGTTTTAGCATTTGGAAAACATCACTGACCTAGTCCTACAAAATTTATCGCTTGTCTCAGATGGAGTGTAGTCACGTCTGTTTTTCTCCTTTCCACGTAACAGTGGCTAAAAACTCAGCTATCAGGGAAGCCAGTTCCTACATATATTTTACATAGTTGAATAGTTCAGTGGTCTACTGGATATCACAGTCCATCAGGTCATTTAAGGAAAGTAAACGGTTCAATCTGTATTTTGTTTTTCCCTGACAAAGCCAAGGGTCAACTTCAAGGTCAAGGTAAGGAAAACATCTGGCTACTAGTCTTAAGAATCATGATCTTACCTAGTTGTGTCAGGCATGCCAAAACATTGTTTAAAGACAAATATGTTTCAACATTCGCTTGTCCTGAGGTGCTTACTCATGACAACTCACATAAATAGTGACTGGAACGGTCAATCATGTGGTTAAAGTATTTTTGCTGTTGTTTAAAAAATGCGATCATGGATTTAGCACTACATGCCAGTTGCAGGGTTCCTGAAGCAGAGCATTTTAATGTTCCACTATGAAAAGGAAAGGAGCCATTCTAATAGTGTGTGGTAAATACAATGGTGGTGAAATTATCTAAGGTCAGGGTAAAGTAGTTCTTATACTTTTTTTACTGTATGGACAGATTTGCTTAAAATATTTTTCCTACCAAGAAACATTTGTTTTAAGCAAATACTATTATTGTGGTTGGAATGGAGGCGTCTGTTTTCTTAAACGCTTTCAGATCTAACAAAAGGGAAAATAAAAATAAGAAAATTCCATTAACAAGGGGAGGAGGAGCTGCTTTATACATTACTAGGACATGCAGTTTAACAGGAAGGTCTTCCATAGCCCTTTTCAAGCTTTTGCCACGTTTCACCAAAAGGCATTTCAGTAAGTTCTAGAGGTCATATTATTCCAGGAAGCTACTGACGACTAATTTCATCACACAATTCATGATCAAAACTATATTCTAGAAGCAAAACGTCAATCCACACCTGAAACAGGAGTGTATGTGGTATGAAGAAAGGGAGAACAGGTGGAGGACGGGGGTGGTAGGGGATGCTTCTATTTCTCTCCACGCCCAAATTTACTCCTTCTTAGCCAGTATATTGAGTGTTTTCAACTTTTAAACATGTACATACTCAAAAACTAAACTATTTCTAACAAGGATTTTGAATTTTTGGATGATGGTTAGTTTATGATTTCCAAACACAGATCATGGGAGACATTTCATCAATTGTCACCACCTCTGAAGGTGAGGACAATGGATAACAACATGATGAAAAGAGTTGCATGAATTCACTCCGAATCCAAAGCTGTGACTTCAAAAGCAGTCCTAATCTGTTCCAGTAATCCTATATAATAGAAGCCCAGTGACCGAAACAGTGGAATGACCTTTACGACCAGTATGACCAGAATGACCGTGGCCCCTCACTCCTGCCGGCCCCACCCCCCAGTGGGGACCCCCACCCCAATCTGGAGCCCCCATCAGGGCAGGCCAGTAGGTCCCCACCCATGCACCGGGCCTCTATCCTATATAATAAAAGGCTAATATGCAAATCGACTGGTCAGTGGAATGACTGGTCACTATGACGTGCACTGACCACCAGGGGGCAGATGCTCAACATAGGAGCTGCCCCCTGGTGGTCAGTGTGCTCCCACAGGGAGCTCATCCAGAAGCTGGGCTCACGCCTGGCAAGCACAGTGGTGGTGGCGGGAGCCTCTCCTGCCTCCGTGGCAGCGCTAAGGATGTCCGACTGCCGGCTTAGGCCCGCTTCCCATGGGAAGCGGGCCTAAGCCGTCAGTCGGACAGCCCCCAAGGGCTCCTGTACTGCGAGAGGGTGCAGGCTGGGCTGAGGGACACCCCTTGAGTACACGAATTTCATGCATCGGGCCTCTAGTGTTTTTAGAATTTTTGTCCCAAGATTTTAGTTTTATTTGTACGTAAAGCATCAGAACAAACTGCTCCATATGACTTCATAGATTTGTTCATCTAAACTTTCTTGCAGATAAAAGAGGTATTTGGTACCTACTTGCTCTCTCTCATTCTCTCTCTCTCTCAGTAGTAAATGCAAAAGATATGCCCTAACTCCCAATAGGATTCCCATATTAGCTCATGCAGTAGATTGAGTCTCAGAAGTGTCATGTATCAGGGAACCAACATTATGCCATTCTATACAAAGGCGTATCACAGACAAAACACAAAGCTATGTATTTCCATGGTTTGGAAGGGAACTACAGTATTTGCTCTGGTGATGACACATTTAAGTGGGGTGACGTGCTCTAGTTGTAACGCACAACAAGAAGGCAGCAGATCAACTCCAGCTGTTACCCAAGGATGCTACTCAGCATCCCTTAAACTATGGATCCTCACAGGATCCCACTCTGCTTTCAATGACCCAATACTCAGAAGTGAGAGGTCCAGGGCTGAGCACAGTAATGTGAAATGCAGTAGCTCACAGAAAACTTTCGAGCTCTCAAAGGAGGGGCAGACTCAGGTCAGGGATCCTGAGGGAGGAAGGATCTGCCTGATGCTGAAGCAGAGGTACCCATGTGACCGTCTACCCCAATGATGGCGAACCTATGACACGTGTGTCAGAGGTGACACGCGAACTCATTTTTTTGGGTTGATTTTTCTTTGTTAAATGGCATTTAAATATATAAAATAAATATCAAAAATATAAATCTTTGTTTTACTATGGTTGCAAATATCAAAAAATTTCTATGTGACACGGCACCAGAGTTAAGTTAGGGTTTTTCAAAATGCTGACACGCCGAGCTCAAAAGGTTCGCCATCGCTGGTCTACCCTATAGCACGGGGTAAAAGCAGTGACTTTGCTGATGAGAAAAATACCAAAGAAAGCAGTCCCAAGGAGGCTGTCCTATGAAACAGCTCGGCAAACGTTTCTGTTCCCTTTACAAAGATCATGTTAGCCCGTGAAGAGTCAAAAATATAAAAAAAAGTCTGAGGCCAGAGAAAAGTTGGACCCGATGCTTCTGGGTTACATAGCACTCAGATGAGATCAAATGACCCGGTAATTAAGCGAGATGCTAGGGCAAGATGACTTTCTTCATGCTTGGAGGAGAGTAAAATTTTATGGGTTGGGGCACATAAATGAGAAATGCCTGGCGGTCCATGCTGCTTCTACCTCGGGGCTGCTCTCATGCGAGACTCACTTCTCCGCCGGGGAGTCTGGCTGCTGGTGGATTTTGGTCAGCAGAAGTATGCAGCAGGCCGGTCTTGTCTACTGGAGTTTTAGGAGGATGTTTTTTCAACATTAGCTTAGTGGGCTTTCGGAGTCTAAAAGACTATTTTAAAAAGCCTTAAGTCACTGAGCTTGACCTTCTTGTCTGAATGGAACTTAATGTTTTACTAATAAAGAAGTTGATGTAAAATGCAGTGTGCAGACCCCACGATAAAGAAGATATTGTCTTTAAGGGGGTTTCACATTTCCAGGGAACTGCAAAAACATTGTTCTGCTTATGGCTTTGAAACGGACACAAAGAACTATTGAAACCCCAAAGATACATTACCAAAGGGGAAAAAAACAGAAAAAGCTTCTTACCAGGTTCAGCGGTAGATCGAGGTTCTGTTTGCCACATGAGAAAAAAATAAATAAAGATGTTTTATTAGAATAGGGTTCCATTAATAATACACCTACATTTCTTTTCCTATTACCTAGTCTAGGGCATGTCTGCCAAAATGTTATAGACAAACTCCATATCATCAAAGCAATAAAGTGATAGATCAATTTATATTTCTACAAATACAAAAACTCAAATTCCAGTAACAACTTACACTAGGGAGTTACTTAAACTACAGTTCATAGAAGCTCTTATAGGAGCTATAAGCCTCTTAAAATTATTTGCCCAACTTTGAGCTCAAACGTATGTCTTTTTTTTTGAAGAAAGAACATACAACTTTCATCAGAGTTTCAAAAGGGTCCGTCAGGGAGCACTCAAGCTTTAATTTACTGGACCCCTCACATTTGCAGAGTATCTGGTCTCACTCTCTTTGAAAACAGAAGTCAGTTCATCTAAATGACTAAACCCTTGCCCTAGCCAATTTGGCTCATTGAGTAGAGCCTTGGCCTACAGACTGAAGGGTCCCGGGTTCAGTTCCAGTCAAGGGCACATAACTCAGTTGCAGGCTCCCAGCCCTGATCAGGGGCAAGCAGAAGGCAACTAATTTAATTGATGTGTCTCTCTCACATTGGTGTTTCTCTCTGTCTCTCCCTCTCCCTTTCACTCTCTCTAAAAATCAATGGAAAAATATCCTTGGGTGAGGATTAAAAATAAATAAATAAATAAATAAATAAATAAATAAATAAATAAATAAATAAATAAAATGGCTAAGCCCTTGCTCTTCCTGGAGCTTGAGAGAAGACAGCAGTTGGATTTGGGAGATGGGGCACCTCTCCTTACTTTTCTGTAGAATTCGGAAGTCTGGAGAGTCCTGGATCTCACTCCCTTGTCGGAACCACTTGACCTGCAGAGGGGGTGCTCCTCGCACCCGGCACTCCAGCACCACCACCCGGCCCTCAGAGGCCACTATGTTTTGCAGTTCCTGAAATTCGAGAAAAACATCGACCATCAACTTTGGTGCGTTTTTACACAATCTCACAATAGAGAATACAACTTCCAAATCTCAGAGAGGGGGAAAAAACCCCCCACAAAACTTGCATCATAAAAGAACTATCACTGACTCAGATGAGGATAAACAGCTTTAAATCCATTCATTATCATCAGCTTTTCAAAATCTCCATACAATGAAATTAGCATGGTTCACCCCTGGGCCTGTTTTAGAAATGTTGGACCGGTCTGCAAATGTATGGACTCTTTTGTACTTAGGGAATGTTATGGTGACAACTGTTACCTTTCTTTATCTACACTTAAGAGTAAGCTGGTAGGAATGTATACTTCATAAAACAATCACACACCCTGTGAATGTAGATTCCTATGGAAACCAGACAGGATGAGGAAAAAATAGACACACATTCGTTTTCCCGTGCTCCAACCCTCCCATGTACTCCCCTGCCAACTCTGCCCAACTGGCTCCCTATGTCAGGTTGATTAAGATGAGGGGCTTAGGTATTTTCTCATTCTGACGTGCTGAGTAAAATGTTTAAAAATGCAGCCTTTTTCTTTTCTTGACCTTCAGTTCCTCCCCCTTACTATTACCCTTGCAGCTCCCCCACCCACTCCAACTCCAGACCAATAAATTTTTACAATCCAACAGATCAGAGATTAATTTGGCTTCATAGAGACAAAGAGGTAAAGCTTTTATATACTTGTTATTAAATATCAAAAGATTAATATTTCCCTTACGTATGTCCTCTCTTGACCTTCCTCCTCCTGGATTACTTAGCAATGGGGCACACTTACATTTTTGACATTTAAACTTCTGACTAAACAGCATTGGTTCTGATATAGAGTCCATAGAACCCTTAATATAATTTAAATACAATAAAGTGGTTCACCTATACGTAGACCAAAAGCAAACACATTCACATGAGTAAGTGGGTGTGTGTGTGCTTTTTGTTAGTTTGTTTTGTTAGTTTAGTTTTTAAATGATTTGAAAACACAACAAATCGCATGCTGGGAAAAACATATCCTGTAGCAACTGGCCTTCGGTGCTAAAGGACTATGGAAATTCTCAAAGTCATGCTGTTGGCAAAAGAACTGAAAAGTCGAAAGTGAAGTCTGAGAAGACATTTGATAATCATGTTGGTAGTTAAGAATGTCTTCAAGGGAAATGTTAAGATTATTAGCTATTTCTGATCGCATTCTTTCTCCCACCTGATTTTTACTTGTAGAAAATTTCTGGTTTTAGATTGACTGTTACTCTCTGGTAGGGTCCAGAAACCCAGAAACGGCTAACTGAGTATACCATCGCAGGAAAGTGTGGTTCGCGGGGCTCAGCTGGTGTGGATTAATCCCCCCCCCCACCCCCCGTCCTCCGGGCTTGTCCAGGAAGCCATTCATAGGAGATTACAAGCGGTACCCAAATATTTTTCATGTGTGAGTTTACGGACACCAAAGGAGACTCTGATTTATCCCTAGGACTGTGTGTTTTGTTTGAACGTTAGAAAGTCAGAGATGTAGGAAATGGGATGGGTGGATGCCAAGGACCTTAAGCAGTCAAAATGCCATCGTTATTCCAAGATTACAATTTGGCTCCTCCTGGAGCAAACGTTTTTATCTTGGCAAAAGCCCCAGCTAAACACAGTTAGCCATTAGGAGAACTCGCAGAAGCATAAAGCAGAGTCCTGAGGAAGACAAGAGCCAACCTTTAAGGTTGCACTTGGGAATCTGGATCATCCATTCAGGGTAGAATTTGGGACCTCTGGGGTTTTAGGGTCCATAGAGGGTATCTCTGGACGTACATCAAGTCCACCTGAGACTATGATTCCTTTAAGGGATCTATGTGGGAAGAAATGCCATGCAGAGCTAGTTGCTCTCCTGGCCTCATATGTGTCTCTGCTAATCAGGCCCACAGCCACACCAGTTCTGTGGCTCCAGCTAAGCACGGTGGCCCAAAGGCAGAGGTGCTGGCTGCGAACCCAGGGGATGTTTCCCAGAGCAGTACGAGAATGTAGAAGGAGGCCCGCCATTGGACTGGCAAAGCCCACCTGCTGTCCGCTGTCAACCATCACGCCCAAGAGAAAGCTGAAGAAGATGCTACTGTCAACAAAGCAAAGCTGGCTTGAGTTCTAGACTTGGGCAGATTTAGTTTCTAAACTTCCTCTCCAATAATCACAGCCCAGGCCCACGAGGAACCCTGCAAAGCAGGGAGAGACACTGCACAAAGGACAAAGGGCAAAGGGCAAAGGGCAAGAAAAGCAGATACAAATAAGGAACGAAACAAAGGTGCAGAAAACAGATGGCCCCCAGTCTAGACACAGGAAGTGGAGTCCCTGGAGATGCCCAGTGAGGTGTACTCTCAGCTTCCTGTTACTCTACAGTTTTGAGATTTAAAAAAAAAAAAGCAACCTCAATAAAAATGTAGAATTTTGTTTTTCTTTTCATGAAGCTGACATGGAATGCTGCACGGTTCTCTTTCTGGAACGAGGGAAACAACACTAATAGAATGTCTGTGTCTCAGGGGCTGGATCACACAGAACAGTGTTGTGTCTAGTGTTTGAGGATTTCCCCCAGGGCCCAGGAGGAATTCGGTAACATCTCCACCTGCCAGGCCTCTGTGGCGAAGGAAAGCAAAATCTTCCAATCTCCTTTCTCCCCCTGAGGCCACCAGCATGGACTTTGTTTGCTTAAACCAGGAGGTGTGTTGAGCCCTGATACCCTCAAATCAACCATGTCCCAGGCAATCATCCATCAGGAAGCACGGACTTTCTGGGGATGCTCTCGTAAAGCTGCTTGTGGAAAGCTCTTAAACGGCATATAAATGTGGATGTCCACCCTCCACAAATGTTTCTTGTTCTAAGCATCAAAGGACGACTTCACTGGCTGTTTACAGTGACACTGGTTTACATGACCAACTACCCCCCCCCCCCCCCGCTTTTTTTGGTAGTTTATCCAAGAGGGGACTTTCAAAGCTGTTGCCAGCTATTATCATTTGTTTCTGTGTCCTACAGTAAATGGTCTGTTTATGAAAAGATCTTTAATAAAGCTGGGTGCAGGCTGGCTTAGGAGAAAAAAAAAATCATTCCCTACATGAAGAAAATGAAAACGCTCTTCTCTATCGCCCCAGAGAAGTTTTATAGATTTGCTTGTCACATTTGTCATTAGTTTACTTGGAACTGAGTTTTGTGAAAAGTGTGAGGTAGAAAGCGAGTTTAATATTTTTCACCTCTGCCGAAGAATTCATTCTTTACCCGGTGGTCGGCAGGTTTCCATCGGTATTGGAGTGGGCTCTATTCTGACTGCTCGTCACTCTGTCTAGCCTTGTGCCAGCTCCATACTATCCCTGTCGTCTACATTTAGGAAGTTGTGAGTCCCAAAGGGCAAATCTCACCCCGTCCATAAAAACCTTATTTTTCTTCTTCAGGAGTGTGTCTTGGCTATTCTTGGTCATTTTTTGCTTCCACCAAAGTTTTAGAATCTAATTGCAAAATTCAGTATTAAACAAACAAATATAAGAAACCCACTGGAATTTTAGTAGATTTGCATTACACTTATAGATTAGTTTGGGAGTCATGACTTCTTTAGCCTACCAGTCCACAGGCCTGGCATGATCTCTCCATTTAAGGTAGGGGAGAGGGAGAGGGAGAAGAAATGCTACTTGGAACCATTTCTGAGTTGAGCAGTTGTCCAATGAAATGGGTGTCATTCACCTTGGCAATGCAAAACACCAACTTAGAACTGAAAGTCATTAAAAAAATTTCTATAAAGCTAGCTGGTTTTCTCAAACAATATCTTAGACGGAATTTTGTCTTTTTTTTCCGTCTTGGCGTTCCCACTCTACTTTGACCTCTATCAGGCCCCTGACCATGCCCACATTTCTCGGACCCTTTATACCAGCGGTTCTCAACCTGTGGGTCGTGACCCCTTTGGGGGCCGAACGACCCTTTCACAGGGGTCACCTAAGACCATCGGAAAACACATATATAATTACATATTGTTTTTGTGATTAATCACTATGCTTTATTTATGTTCAATCTGTAACAATGAAAATACATCCTGCATATCAGCTATTTATTTACATTACGATTCATAACAGTAGCAAAATTACAGTTATGAAGTAGCAATGAAAATAATTTTATGGTTGGGGGTCACCACAACATGAGGAACTGTATTAAAGGGTCGCAGCATGAGGAAGGTTGAGAACCACTGCTTTATAAGATTATAGTCACATAGCCCTTGTTCAGTAAATATCTACTGAGTCCCAAAGGTAACCATGATAATCGTTCTACTGATCTGTTCCTTTACTGTTTAAAGATGCTGCACAAAGCCACATGTGAGTGGAATTTAAGCACCAAAGCACATACAGAGAATGAAACTTGCAGATGTCAGACCTTTGTAAAAACAGGAGGAAAGTAGGCAGAAGTGGTTCCATCCGGTCTGCAGAGATACGAGGTTGGACTGTGAACCTGGAAAAGCAGAGACACATGGATCAAATTCTAAATATATAAATTGCTGAAAAGATGGACTCACTCGGAAGGTCGCTCCACATGAATGAAACGAGTGAATGAAAGTCTCTCCATATATCATTTTGCTGATCTACTCTTACAGCACAGACACTGTCTGCTTCCTCGTTGCACATCTGTTATTCTTCTCTATTCAGAAGGACATTCAAGGCAAGAGTCCCCTGGTTCCTTAGGGATCCATGCACTTTTAAATGCTATTACCAAATGGATTACTGTGTGGGGCTTCCACAGGGGTCTTTTTAAAAGCTCTTACAGACATTATATTTATTTTTTTTAATATAGTCTGGATTCATTGAATCAAAAGCACAAGTTACTGGCAATGGAAGATAAATAACCAAACATCTACCTCTCTTATTTTTAACTTATATTCCTTTTTGGTACAGATAAGGATTATAGGAAATGAATAAAAATATATCCTTTTTTTTCTTTTTTTTAAAAAATATATTTTTATTGATTTCAGAGAGGAAGGGAGAAGGAGAGAGAGATAGAAAAATCAATGATGAGAGAGAATCATTGATCAGCTGCCTCCTGCATGCCTCCTACTGGGGATTGAGCCTGCAACCCAGGCATATGCCCTTGGCCGGAATCAAACCCAGGACCCTTCAGTCTGCAGGCCAATGCTCTATCCACTGAACCAAACCAGCTAGGGCTATCCTTTTTTTATTGATGTGCAAAAAACAAAGGTGCTGAAACACTTACTGAATAGTGCTCATCTCTGGAAAAATAAAAGGATTTCAGGGTAGTGAATGGAAAGTATTTCTTTGTGCACAGTCATGTATTTTCAAACACTCTGGATTCATTCACTTCTATATAAGTGGTTCGTAGATTTTTAACCGAAGATAATGGTGATCTGGTATTATATGCCCAAATATGCCATCAGACATCATGGAGAATGCTGGCAGAGTGCTAGGATGGTGGTAATGAGCCTTACTCATTATCCATGTAAGACTGTTTATAGGCTTGTTATTCAGGAGATCTAAGTCCCACTTTTCACTGTTTTTTTTTTTTTTTTTTTTTTTTTTATGTGCAAAGAATATATGAACACTCATACAGTATTTAGTCTGTGCGAGGCAGTGTTCTAAGTGTTATATGGAAATCAACTCAATGAATCCTCATGACCATCCTTTGAGATAGATGGCATTATTACCTTCAATTTATGGGTAAAAAAAATAGGCAAAGAAAGGTTATATTACTCGTTCAATTTTAGCTAGTAAGTGGTATAACTGGGATTCAAACCCAGGCAGTATGAATTCAGGGCATTAACCTTTACGTCACTTTGCCTACAATAAAGCAATGGCGTTTCTCTGAGCACTTCATTCTCCCAACTGTACAAGTGGGATATATTACCTCCCATTCAGTGTTCCTGTAAAATTTAAACCATTTAAAATGTACAGCTTACATTATTATGACACCTACTCATTTAGATGCATGTGTGTCTTTCTGCTTTTAGGCTTCCCTGTTATACCTGAATACAGCCTATCATCTCCGAGAAGTGTCTCATGTGTATATTTCCCGTTTCCCATGCACGGTGTATAAACTGGAATGGAGCTGGGGATACGTATTTTTTTCTGTTAGACACTATGAAATGTCTAACACAGTGCAAAACATTCATTAAATATAACAAACATAAAAAAACCCCCACTGATTTAATCAGAAATATTTCTATAAATTCCACTCTAGCCCTAGCCGATGTGGCTCAGTGGATAGAGCGTCGGCCTGTGGACCAGAGGGTCCCAGGTTCAATCCCAGTCAAGGACACGTACCTGGGTTGCGGGCACATCCCTGGTGGGGAGTGTGCAGGAGGCAGCTGATTGATGTTTCTCTCTCATCGATGTTTCTAACTGTCTATCCCTCTCCCTTGTCTCTGTAAAATCAATAAAATATATATATTAAAAAAAAATTCCACTCTAGTTTAGGGGTTTAAAGGAAATACCTCCTATTTATGCCACTTCCAAGTAACTTATCTTGATGAGTTCTTTTCAATTCAAAGGTTTTTTTCTCTAGTGCCTACATATTCTACATATCACAGAGTATATGTCACACACCTGTAATTACTAAAATACCTGTGAGTGCCCGATAGATAGAGGGCATGTAATCCTCACAAAAAATACTTAACAGACATGCAAGGAATGAGCTTACGGTTCAGGGTACTGGGGGAAGCTTTATGAGTGCTGTATTTAAAGGTGATCATCATAGCACAAAATAAAGTAACATACATTTGATTTAGAGACGTTTAGATTTTAATATTGTTACTTAAAAAATTCATGTTGTTTGTGTTTGCAAAATAAACCCATTATAATTTCTTTCCAGTCATCAGTATTGTTATTCTTTCCTGGATAAATCAGTCTGACAACAAAATAAAAGAAAGATAAAAATGCATGGTGAAGTCAAATTTGAATATTTTTTTCTTATTATCTGTTTAGTGCTTAGAGGATGACAATGAATACCTGTGTTGGTATGTATACTTCTCTTGTCTACTCATTTGTTTAAATGAAATAATAAATTTAGCTGAAAGGAATACAGCATATATGAGGGGGAATAATCAAATAGTTGTAGATAAAACAGATATCATTTTAGAAGATTATTGGCTACTAAAAAGGGAAGTTCCAATGGAAATGAAGATGCTGACTGACTGATGGTGTGGCTTTGGTTAAATATTATTTTTAGGGGATTAAAAGGAAGACCTTTACCTAGCATTTTCTTTTCTCCCCCCTGTATTTTTACTTAGAAACTATTTCAAGGAGCAGACTAGTAAAATTAAAGCTATATTCTTTAAACCAAGAAGCCTGCTAATGAGTTCCACTCCCTGGCCACACTGACCTGCTGAACAGGGACAGATAGTGGCTGGATCACAGCTGTGGTCACTCCTGTCTTTGGAGATGACGATCCTATTGTTAGGGACACGGACGTTGTTTTCTTCTGAGCCCTGGAAAATAGGGAGGCAAGTGTTCAGTTGGATTTTTTTTTAAAAAGCAGGAATTATTCTTTAAAACATTTCCACAGAATAGCCCAGTTTCTTTTTGTGTACTTAATCCACTTTAACTTTTAAGTGCTTGAGAAATGGGAAGGGCTACAATAGCTGCAGCCAGTATATGCATAGAATGAACCTTATAGATATTAGCAAAATAAACGCACGGGTAGAAGAGTAGCTGTATGTAACACAGCCATTATCAGTGAACCTAAGGTGTTGAACTTGAGAATCTGAAAAGGCAATGCTTAGAAAACGTCTAATCTTCAGGAGTAGGAAGATATTTAAAATCGTTAGGGTTAGGGTTCTATATTTAATTCAAAGTTTTGGCTGTCTATTTTAAGCCTAGCAGCTGTTCTTTGTTCTGGTTCTAATTTTGTGAAGTTGAGAGTATCTTAAAACTTTTGTCTTTTCTTAGTGCATACAAGTTAGTGAGGTGTCGACAAAGATTAAGAATTGGTTTCTAGACCAAGTTTTGTTAGGGTGCTGGCTGTGGAATCCCAAGCGAGCCATGTAACTTCACTCAACCTGACCCTTATCTGAAATGAGAGGTGGTAGAGTACATATAGGAGCCTATTAAGGCCCCTTTAGCATTAGTATTTGGTGACGATTTGATACCGAATGGATATAATTGTTATGTATATAACAGCAGATCAAAATAATTTAATACTGTCTCAATATTCATAGAGTTTTCTACAAAACTGTGGGAGATTTTGATTTTTTTGCGAAATAATTAAGATATTAACATTTTACTAAGAATCCATGTCTTTGTAGGAAGAACTAAATAAATTTTAAGATTTTCATGACAAGATCTAGCTAGAAATAGACTTTATTTAAATGGAAACACATTGCTGGCCTAGTGAGATATTTTCCAATTATAAATACATTGATCCTCATTTATTTTTAATAGTGACTTAATACATTTTCTCTCAACGTGACTGCTCTTGTCATAAATTTATAACTGGCTAGTTGTCTTTGAAACTAACATTATCTATGGTTAGATTTTGGCATATCGATGATAAAATGCAGACTTCAAAGTTCAAATTCATAAGTTTAAAATGACATTCCAAGTTCAAGTATTTGATCTTTGATTGACATCAGTTGACCTTTTTCTTGAAAACACAACACGGGTGGCTTCCTACCCCAATTCTGCTGCCGTTCTGTGCTATATAATTGATGAAATCGTAAGTACTTACTGTGGCATTGCTCCAGGTTTTGATATGAAAGCTAAACTTTCACTGTCAGAGTCTGTCGAACTGGTACCTAGGAGAGTTACAAATAATTATAAAGTTAAGATGCAATTAGTATCTATAATTGCTTCAAAGAGTAATGTTCTTTATTTTTAAACAATATCAAAGTCTTATTTTAAAATAGAGAATGGTTCAGACCATTTTTACTTGGACTGCATCTTCAGAAAATCATTTTTTTAAAAAAAAGAACTATGAAAAGCTTTCTTCAAAGAAACATAATTTTAATGCCAGATTTATTATTAATTTAATTTTTATCTCTTTGGCCATTACAACCATACTTTTAAATGGCCTATAAACTATGAAATAAATTTGAGTGTGATTGTGAGCAAAACAGTCATGGTTTTAAACTTTAACCCTCTCCCAAGAGATTTCATAGCATGAATTATTAATGTCTTCCTGACTCATTAATTAGGAAATGCTTTCTGATTCTTAAACTGGAGTGTGACAGTGGCTTCATTCTTGAATAAAAGGGTCTCTGACTTTGGATCATGCCTTCCCAAATTCATTTGTGTCATTACTGTTTTTGAATTAAAGGTCAGATTTTTAATCAAAATGCATACATTTTCATGCACATATTTTGTGACAAGAGATTTTATGTGACATTTAAAATAACTGTGATGGTTTAGAAGTATATTCTTGATATTTCCTTTATATAACCTGAGTTATTTAAATTATTTATTTTAAACTATTTTAATGTAAAATAATACATGCTTACAGAAAAGTAACCAAATATCACAGAATTGTGTGATATTGCAGGAAAAACCTGTTGGTACCTTCCCTAATACCATTCCGTATATGTTAAGAGTCTGGTGTGTATTTTTCAGATAAATTTAATGTGTCAACACACATATATTTACGTACATATTTATACAAATAGACTCATACTACATGTACTCTTTGCAATTGGTTATTTTTGCCTATCAATACATTCAGAACAGATACATTTACTTACTTCTCTGGGATGGCTGCCTAAGTGTTCCTTCCTGTGACTAAGATATGTTTTTCCAGCCTTTGATTGATGTTGAAACAATCACATTTAGGTAACTCTGCTGGAATGTTTGCTGTCCCTTCCTACTAATTCTACAACTACCACCTGGCTGGGCTTTCTTCACCTCGTTCCTGGACTACTGCAATCGTCTTCTCTTGTTCCCCATCTCTCTCCCTCTCAAATCTGTCTTCAACCTCTGAGATTAGTGTTCCTATCTTGCAGAACTTCCTGGACTTCCACATCACATAACCCTGATCCAGAGAGTTGAACATGATCCCTGGTGCATATCCCACTAAGTAATGGGAAAACCACAGTGAAGAAAACACACACACACACACACACACACACACACACACACACACACACACACACACACACACACACACACCTGCTTTTGCAGAGATTCCATTCTTTTGAGAACATACACAATGGACAAGGTAAATAAATACATGGTATGGTGGTGAGTGATATAAAAAACATGTCGCAGGGTGGGGTGTTGGGAGCAATGGGAATGCAGTGGGAGCGATATTAAGCAGAGTGGCGAGGACGGTGTCACCGAGCTGGGGACTTTAAATAGATGAACATCCAGTGTTGGTACCTTTAGTTATATTACTCATTCCTATAGGAAACGCCTACCCAGTCATTCCTGGATATTCTATCTTTTAAAATCAGCCTACTCATTTTTCTGTGCTCTGTCTTCTCTGGACTCCTACAGTTCTTGTTTACATTACTCTCATCACTTATTACATCGCATCTGCTAGAAAGTTATAAGTTCTTTGGGAATTGAAGTGGTGTTTGGAAGTGAACTACCAATTCTTCAGTACTTATTATTTGCCTGGCTGTCTGCTAGACACCTCAAAGCATTTAATTATTATAATAATGAACTTCACTATGAGGAGAGTGAGATTACAGGTAAGAAAACGGAGGAACCAGGAGCTTAGGTAATTTGCATAAGGTCACATAACTAGGAAGCAGTGGTGGCATGGCCCGTTCCATCCGACCTCCATGTACTGAGCATGTCTCCATTCCTCAGAGGGCTCAGCTTCATGTCTTGCTCATGGCAGGCCTTTAACTTCTGATGGAATGAATGGGATTAAGGAATTGCAAGGTTTGTGTGGGGAGAGGCAGTAGACTTTACAACCAGAGAAGAGCAGCATCTTGGGGTGGTGGGTGGCAACGGTGGGAGGCAAGTCTAGAAACGCAGGGTGGAATACCAGGGACAAAGCGTTTGGACTGTACATCTAGGTACTGAGTGGTGACTGGGAAAATTAACTGTGCAGGATGAACTGACGGAGAAGGGAAGAGGGGGGAAGCAGAGCGAAGCAAACAGCAAACCATGTACCAAGTAGTTGACAGACAAGGAGAAAGTTTGATGAGGAGGTAGAAGTTGAGCAGGGAAACAGAAAAAACCAGCAGGCTTGGTTGTCAGAAAGTCATGGGAACCTGACCGAGATCAACTGCACTGGAGTCATGAGCGTGTTACAGAGAGGCCGGGCAAAAGCCCCATGGGAGCTATCACAGACACGCTCAAAGTGGCCTGAAATTGGGGAGAGAAATGGCTATTTTTTCATATAATTCTGAACATTTAAATCATTTTTTAAAAGTCCCATCTGATTATCTCTATTTAGAAATATATTCCTATTCTCATTCTTTTATAACTACCCTTTTCTATCTGATTTTCAGAGAAACATAAAGGACCAAAAAGGGTAGTGTCCCCTGGTAATACATTCGCTAGTTTTCGCACACCTGTCCAACCCTTGTGAAATCTCAATGTCACCTTCTGTCTCAGGTGTCAGAGCAGCTCTTGCAGATGGTAGCAGATCAGATCTCCCCATCTGTGCCAGCCGTTCCCTGCCCTCCCCGCAGGGCACCTTCCCTCCCTCTCCTCTCCTGTCTCCTGCCTGAGTCATCTGCTTTGCACCTGCCGGTCAGGAGACACCACTCCTGTCTCAGGTTAACATTTTTCTCTGTATTTATCAAACCGTCACGCTCAGTGTTTTCTGTAGGCTCCGATCTGAAGGAGGCAAACCTTCCAGCCCTTGCAGTTACTATCTATCTGTGTATCAGATATTTCCCTGCTTAAATGCTAACTGTTTCTGTATTGCCTCCCACATAGTACAAAGGAATCAAACACTGTTCTCCGCTCCCCTCTAGGGATAAAGGGCAGGTGGAAGTGTCACCAAAAATGAGCCTTCTCCCTTCACTTTAAAAGGTGTTACCTTTCCACCCTGCCAGCATGGCTCAGTGGTTGAACATTGACCTATGAACCAGGAGGGGGTCATGGTTCAATTCCCTGTCAGGGCACATGCCCGGGTTGCAGGCTCAATCGCCAGTGTGGACTTTGCAGGAAGCAGCTGATCAATGATTCTCTCTCATCATTGATGTTCTCTCTCTCCATTCCTTGCCCTTCCTCCCTGAAATCAATAAATATATATTAAAAAAGGCTTTACCTTTTCATTTTTAAAACTTTAGCAATTTAATACTTCTTTGTAGGAAAAAACCCATAGAATGTCCAATAATGAAAATTAAAGAAAAGAATCATTTGAAATACCACTAATCAGACACTTGGACCACATCCTTCTAAAGTTTATGCTTATGGACATAGAAAAAGAATTAAACATATTTTAAAAAGTAAGATGACAATCCTATTATACTGCTCAATTATTGTTTTTCCTACATTTAATACATGTCAATAAATAAATATGTACCTTTATAATTTTCTAGTGGCTGCTTCAAACTCATCTGTGTGGATTCACCATAACTTTATTATTCATTAATGGATATATGTATTATTTTCATTTTTAAACATTTCACCAGAAAGGTGTATAATATAGCAATATAACAAAATGCCCACTTCCCCATATTCATAAAATCACTGTTTTAACTTATATTTTTGTCAATCTGGAATCTTTCATGATTTGAAAAAATGTGTATCATATTTTATATAAAAATAGGTTAAATTTTAAAAACCAGGTACAAAAGAGTACACCGTAAAATATACAAATATAGAACATAAGATAGCAAAATTACATGTGATTTTTATATTTTCTTTTTATGCATATGTTTTAGATTTTTAAAAATGAAAATGTGCTTTTTTTGGTAATAATAATAATGATAGCTCACACTATGTGCCAGGCACAGCTCTAGGCAATTAGCTCATTCAGTCCTTACAACAATCTAATTTCCTCCATGCACAGACGGAGAAATTGAATTCAGAGCCAGCAAGTGACTGTTCAAGGTCATAGTGGCTAGGAACTAAGCTACTCAGAAACCATTGCGAAAGAATGGCCAAGCTGGGCTTAGACTCCTTCAGCTTCTCTAAACAGTTTCCCAAAAGCCAGCAGAAGAATCCTCATGTTCAATGAGGCTTTTTCTTGCTGGGACCAACAGGAGCAGTTACTCATATAACGTCTTAGCATGTGTCAAAATGTCACTTAAAAGGGGCGCATGTTTTATTTGATCATTCAAAAAAATTGAGAACTTAGAAAAAAAATATTAACTAGAATCTGCCAACATGCACCAAGCTTGAATATTACTGCCCTCTCCCTTTTTAAAAATTATTTTCCCCATCACTATTTATCCCCTCTATGCCCTCTTTCACCTCTATCCCCCCTCCCCGCCCCGCACACACACAATCACCATACTGTTGTCCATGTCCATGAGTTCTCCTTTTTTTCTTTTTTCTGTTCAATTCCCCCACCCCTTCAAAGCTCCCCCCGCCTCCACCTGAGCTGTCTGCCTGCTTTCTATCTATGAGTCTGTCTCCATTTTGCTTGGTAGTTCAGGTTCATTAAATTCCACTTATGAGTGAAACCATATGGTACTCATCTTTCTCTGACTGGCCTATTTCCCTTAGCACAGTGGTCAGCAAACTGCGGCTCGTGAGCCACATGCGGCTCTTTGGCCCCTTGAGTGTGGCTCTTCCACAAAATACCACGTGTGGGCGCGCATGTACAGTGTGATTGAAACTTCGTGGCCCATGCGCAGAAGTCAGTATTTGTGGAAAAGCCACACTCAAGGGGCCA